AAACCGGTGTCTGTGGTCTGTATCATTAGTTGAAAGTCAGTCGAAATTTACTATCCATCTCTTAATCGATGGGCAAGTCATGGTTTCATCAGTACTCTAATTGATAGATACTGCTTCTGGCATTTATGTGAAATGTTGTACACGAGTTGAAGTAAGCATTTCTTTCTGATTGTGTTAAGGTTTCTACCACATTGATATAAACGTTGTTGAAAATAGCGTTAGGAGTTGCGAAAGAGCTTGAGGGTTATTTGTCCTATCTATTGACTCTAGATTTCTGGCAACTTTCACGTAAGCGTATCTACTTCCACACGTTTTTATTTAAACTTGACCAGAAAAGTCGCTCTTCTATGATCTCTTTGACTCCTTAGATACCCGGATGGGAAAGTATATATAAAGTATTAAGGAAATTATATCGATAATCTTTCAGCATGACTGTTTGATCACTATCTTTACATATGTCTCAAAGTAATGTTTCCCTTCCCTTTTCCTATTTGTCTGACACGTAGTTTTAAAGCAAATGAAAAAAATTAATAATTTAATCATTGAAATAATTAAAATCAGTGATCATTAAGAGATAGAAGTTGAACGGGTGGGGGAGGTTGTAAGAAAATAATGTGCCAAACAAAAAAAATAATGACCTAGATCATCATCATCATTTATAAATTGACTAGAAACTCTTCAAGTTTCCTCTTCTTTCTTATTTCGAACTAGTAACTTTATTTCAAGTTGAATTGACACATAGAGAAATACCATAAACTTTTAAGGACATATTGAATGAATTATATAATTAATTTGATTACACACTTACATAGAAGTAATAGATGTGTTGAAATGGGAAAAGTAATTTGTTTTCACTTTTTCCCATTTTCGGCCTCGAACTTTCTAGAATGATAGAATCATTTGTTTCCATCTATCTCTCTCTCTCTCTATGTATATATATACTTATATATCTTTCTATCTATCTTACCATCTATCTATCCATCTATAGATACTACTTATGAATTAATTAACTTATGACATAGTTATCATTTAAATAAACTATAAAAAGAAAAGGAAAAGTTTCATCAGAAGTGATTTTCATGGTTGAAATCATGATTCAATTGAAGCTAGACCACCAGGGAAAACCTGGAAGCACTCGACGGCCGTTTCGTTCTCTTGTAAGACTCCTCAGCAGTGTGCATCCACGATACCACCTTGCTAAAGATTCGAACCCAGGACCTACCAGTCTCGCGCTAGAGCACTCAACCGATAGATCACTGAGCCGGCATCCGATGGTGTTAATATCCATCTTCAACCAATCGACGAAGTTGAGCAACCGTTCTCCAATTGTCTTCAGTGAGTTCCTATCTCACAACAGACGTGGTTTGAACTCCACTGGTCACTGCTTCTCACTAGAACTTTTGGATTTATCTCTTGAAGTCAGTCACTAGTGAGCATATGATTATTATAATCAGAAGGGATTTTTTGTGTAGATTTAATATTTTCATAGATGAAAGCATGAGTCAATTGAAGTGATTTTGTTTAAATACCTCTATTTATGATATATATATATATATATATTTAGAAGTTTGTTTATGTTTAGAAATTACTTATCTAAGTGAACTGAAAAATGAGTTCCCAAATTCATATGATTAGTAAAGTTCTAGATTGATCTCAGAACTATACATGTATATATAACACAGAGTTGACTCTGTTAATGATGATATTGATGAAATAGATATAATCCACCGATTTCTTCGTACATGATACTAAGGCTAACCTCTCTGTGCAATAGTACTAATGGAAGCCAAATATGAAATATGCTCAAAGGATTTATTTCAGACAGTCATATGTAAGCAGACAGGAGAGCTTACTCAAAATGTCTAAGTATGAACCATCCTATACCTATGAAATCTGACGTATAGGATGTGAGTAGGGGAATAATCACATGTACTTACATATTTCTAAAAAAATATTCAATGTTAAAAGTAACCAATTGACAAAGACAGATAACGTAGGTAAAAATGGGACGTCCCAAAATATTTGACCAGATTAGATTGATTTATCTGTCCAAAATCTAGAATAAATTAACAGAGACTTTACTAGGACTCGGTATAAGTCAATACACACGTATCGACCAAATATTCACTATCATTTAGGTTCTGGAATGTAGACATACCTACCGAATCCTACCGTAGTTGATTGTGAGATAGTATTTGACTCCATATACTAAAGGCATTTATGGAGCAATATCACTGAAAGAAGTGCATCAGACTTGTACAGATTCTCTACTTAAACACTACTCGTTGAGTTAAAGCTTATGACTGACTGCCAACTGAACTGATAGCTTAAAGTGATATTTGTCATTGTTGTCCGCTCTCCTCATATTTATTTGGATTCATCAAGAACATTCTTTTGGAGAAAAAGATTCATCCATTTAACGCCTAAGGTATAGAACTCCCACCGGGAGATTCACATATTGACTTGGGAAACACAGACGATATGTTTTGTTAGGTGAAGGAGGTTACAAAATACAGCCTTTCGATTGCCTTGAGTAACAGTATAGGTACATTTATAATGCATTTCTCTCTCTCTAAATGTAAAATATTAATTCCAGACTGGTCTGGGTCAACAACTGAAGTACTGATAGGGGGGAAGTAGTTGAACTAGGTGACCATTTTACTTAACTCAGAAATCTGATCTACACTGATGGATTGGTGTCTGTTGAGATCTCAACAACGGTTTGGAAAGTCAGAGCTTTCAACTTTTCAACGGTTGTCTAAGATTACTCCATGATGTAAACCATATTATTTTTTTCTTTCTACATCTCTTAAGTCGTATTATTGCTCTTTGCTTTCCATTTCTCAATGTCATCCATTCTTTGTGTATTGCATTTCATTTTTAGATAATTAGTTTGCAAGGAATCATCCAATCTCAAAACGATCTTTCTTACGCATGAACGTTAACTGAAGAATTGTTGAAAATTACGGAACAGTAAGCTAATAATTGATTCTAATTTAAGACTTCAATAATGCATATTTATTACAATATCATTAGTGACACTGAATCCTAGAGCTTGACTCCTTGTGATCACTATCATAAAGCGGTCTAATATTGTAAATTCTATATCCCATTGAAAATTCTTTAATTATCATTTTGTTAATTACCTCTTCTCCAAGTTAGGAACGGATAGAAACGTGATTTCATGTTTTGATTCAGTGTGACAGTTACTTAGTATAATATTCGGTCACATCATTCTAGTGTACAATCCACAAGTGTTCTCAATATTTCAGTTATATACAAAATTCGTTTACTAAGTTTTGAATGCGTTTAGAATCTGAACACATACGAATGCATTTGATTAATACGTAGTTGTCATGTTTTTCAGATAAGTGAGTAACACTTTTATCTGATAATAGTTTACTCATCTTCCTTAAGTCGTACAAGTGCTAATTTCAAATGTAAAATGATGATCGGCAGTAGTCGACAAGAAACTTTAGAACTAGGTTCACATGCTGTTTTATGTTTGTCAGCATGGTGTATGTATAACACTAAGAGGGCTGATATTTGCTGGAAATTCTATTTTATGTCGTTCAGTCCAACAGTCAGAGACGTTACCAACGTGCCATTTTACGTTATGACTAACCTTCCGTAGGACTGAAATGTATTTATACAAGTACTAGTTTCTATGGCTCTCATCTTCACTGACGTAAAGTGTAACTGTTATATCCCGTGGAAATATATGAGTGGTAACTTTGAGAACTATTTATGGAGCAATATGTATATTTCCCATAATATAATTTTTAAGTAATTAAACTGTTTATATTCGTATCCCTCTTATTATGAGCTTTATTTTGACCCATAGACTATTATTATACGATTTACCATTCCTGAGTTATCCCCAGTCTATTGACTACTGTTCCCCCTATTCACAGCCACATTTGGCTGAAGCTTGCACAAATGTTATTTTCTATGTTATGGTACGATGTGGTCTTTTCGTTTGGTATATAGACCCAATATATTTGAGAATAATGATTCATTTAGTAGAGACTGTTATTAGTGTTTTGGTCTTAACTGACTGGGCTAGGTAGATATCAGGACTGATAAGTACCCAAAACTGCTTACACGGCTTTGTGTATCGATAATTCACTGTTCTCTAATTAACGTTATTATTACTTCATATATTAAACAAGGTACTCGTCCAATCGATATTAACAGTAACAAACAGAGGTTGGTACAAATCTGTACCGGATTCGACCTTAGTAAATGGATGACCAATAAATCAATACTATTATATAAGGATTAAAATAGTAATATATATTTATTGAACAACATAATGAAGAAAAAACATGTAACCCACTTGAAGAATAAAAAAAAATGAGCGGTAAACAATTAGAGTAGTTCTTGACAAAAAGTAACGTGTATGTGGGTTTTTTTCACGTAAATGACAATGTAAATCCACATGTAGGTTTACTTTCATATAATCACAAATTATTTAGTGTATGAATAGTTTGTAGTTATGATATTCGAAGAGAACCAAGTTGATTGATTCTGGTTAGTATTCACTTGTACAAAGATTTGGTGTTGTTCCTCTCTAATGCAATCAATGAAAAATGTTTTGATGTACTACTGATATATTGTCAATTTGTCCATGTCATTGTTACTGATGCAACTGAAGTATCAGATAACGAGATGATGCAACACAACACAACCCTATTGGATGTGATGTAAATCATACAGTGTAAAATGATGACAAATTAACAAACTACATCTAAAAAGTACATTTTAATCTATTGAAAACAGAAAACGGGAATTCAAACATAAAGTTGTATAGTTCATGATGTAATGCCATCTATATTAACATACACATATATACTCAATATTGTTTAGCTAATCAAAATAAACAACAATAAAAGAAATATTTATATATATCTGATCAAATGAAATCTAAATGATTATCAATTGAGGAAATATATACTACTGTTATTTTTGATAGTAGTAGTAGTGGTAGTGATAGTAGTAAGATGATCACATGATTGAGTAACACTAGTTTATTCATTGTATAGAAAAATTATTGAGGGGAAAAAAAGATTAAACATGTACATAAATTAGAAATTGTGTAAAACATCACAAAATGTTTATATATGGGGTAGAGTAAAAAACAAATATTAAAACTAAATAAGATGAATAGTTGCTATGATGTTTCACATTTGTTCATTCATTCATTTGCTAACCTTCAGTCTCTAAAATGATAAGTTAAAAAAAAAAACAAATTATTGAAGATAGAAGATACATATTGTACGGTAACATAAACACAAGAAGATTGGAGTTATCTATTACGTAATTGGAATTAAAAAGAATCCTTGAATTAAGACCTCTTATCTTTTGAATGTTCAACAATAAAGCGTTTATATAATCTTGAAGGAGCTAATGACTTCTATAGTATTCAAATCAAAGGTATAGTTAAGTGAACAGTAATTGAATCACTACAATTGTGAATGATATATAGAAATGAAAATTTACACTGACTTGTTATATCCTAGCGAAGACATAAGTACAGGTAACTTCCGGGACCTACTAATGGACTATTATTCTCTATATATTTTTATTGTTTAACTATTGAGTAATTAGATTATGTAAATCTATATCCATCATATTATAAGCTTCATTTTGACCTATGAATTATCACGGTACGAATTACTGTTCCTAAATTATATTCAGTTTATTGATTATTGCATCCCACATTCACAGCTACATTTGACTTGATCTTGTACAAATATTATTTTCTATTTTATGGTGTGATGCGGTCTGTCTATCTGGTATATAAACCGAGTATGCTTGAAAGAAATGATTCGTATAGCAGAAGCTGTAATTGGTGTTTTGGACTCAATTTTAAGGGCTAGACGAGCAAGGGATGCCAAACTGCTCATACAAGTTGAACGTCATTGATTTGGTACAGTGTTAAGATCGGAAAAGTCGTATTTCGATTGGTGGATAAATCACGTGATAAAAAGCCAGACATAAAATCATAACATGACTGATCACTATATAGTGAACAATGTCATGTTATTCTAGTCCTAAAGTATTGAAAAAAGTTTAACAGAACAAGTCGCATTGTAACCATTAGTTTAGATAACTAGATATTGTTCGAAACTTTATTTTTGAGATTACCGATTGGAAACAATCAATAGGTCTTTTGTTAGTTGAAATCTATTAGTATAAGTGAGGATATAGTTAGTTGTGGCTAGAATGGTTCAGTTTTTACACATCTAAAAGATGCCATCCTTCTCATCACAATAGTTTAGCAAACAAAACGTACTTGGACGTATAATTGTAGTAAACGAAAACGAAATCGGGGACAACTAAATGCACAGAATCTCTTATTAGAATCTGAGAATCATATAGGAAATACTTCATTTGCAAAATATCCATCAATTATCTCGGACTTTGTTTTCCCTTAGTTTCCATATCAATCACTCTCCGTCTCCGTTATCTTCTACTGCCAGGCATTCCAATTTCGATTGATGATACATACTACTTATATCTATCGACATCAGTAGCACACACCACATAATCAATTAAATTAGAGAATGTATTGGCATTTCTGGATTGAAATTCCATCGGTACTAAGGATTAGTCAGTATGTAATTGTCATAGTTGCAAGCGTGAGTCAATTGAAGCTAGACCATCATGGAAAACATGGAAGCACTGGACGGCCGTTTCGTTCTATTATGGGACTCCTCGGCAGTGTGCATCCACAATGGCGCCTCGCGAGATTCGAACAGAGAACCTTCCAGTTAACTTAATAAAATCAAATACTAATTTCATATAGTAATAAACTTCGTGGAAACAACTTCAATGAAAACTTTTGTGTTAAAATTGATGATATTTCACAGTTTTTCAAACTAAAGTAAGCAAAATGGTGTTCAGATCTGTTACGTAATGATTTCAAGTCAATTGTTGAAATCAATTTGTACCCCATTGTAACAGTCAAACTAAACATCATAACAACTGCTTGGTTCATAAATTTTAGAACTAATAACTTGAGACCTCTCAACATTTACGTAATCTATACGATATGTTATATTAACGCTTATCATTTCACATCACACATCTCTTACACATCAATACACATACCTAGTTTAGACATTTTTAACGTTGATTGGGTGACCTATTCAGTGTACAATGAACCCGGAGAACCATGTACCTATTTATATTCCATAATTTTGATGTTTGATTATAATTCCTTGAAAAAGCTTGGACCAGATTGCCAGGCGAAACTTTGGATTTACTACAAATTCATTCGCTGAGATTTTGCAAATATATATTATTCCTATTCAGTGTCTTACATAAACTCGGCGCTCAAATACTGTGAAACTATTCGCTCTAATTTAGACGAGAGTTCTTATATAATAACTTGAGACCAGTTAAATCATCATGAAAATTTCTTAAAACGTATTCGTTTTGGATATGAATAAATGTCTATAAGAGCAAATACGATTCTTTGTGTGCCCGCACTGCTGAGGAGTCTCATACTAGGACGAAACACGTGTCCTAGAATCCAATACTAGTCATCATCCATCTCCGCTCATAATGCCTATGACTAAAGGCAATATCAAGGCAATCTGTAAAGGATGCATATATGCCAATAAGAGACTTATCAATTACAATCCTAAATATCAATGGGAAGATTCAAACAACCAATTCAAAGTGAACTAATAATATTAAAACTATTATATAGTAACTGTGGCATAAAAACAAAATACCAAAATAGTTTTAAAAAAAAGATAACCTGAATTTTGAGGTTTTTCAACGTCTACTTCCTCCTAGATGATACCAAACAAAAAACAAAATAAAATAATTCATCAAAATTAAAATAGAGAAAATTACGGAACAATTATGTAAACTATAAATGAAATAATGATGACATCATTTAAAGAAGAATAGCAAGATGAAAATATACTCTACGAAAAATTATGTATATATACCTATGCAACTGTGTTATATCTTGTAACCGAGTGGATGTTCAGTTAATGTATGATGTGATAAGATCGTCAATCACAGAACAGCGAATTATCGATTGGAACAATGACAAACGAAAACTGTACGACAAGTCAAGAGTGCTAATCGGTCCTGTTTTCTGTCTAACCTTGCCTATTAAGTCCAGAACACCAATAACAGCCTCTGTGGTATGAATCATTGTATTTCAAACATACTGAGTTTATATACCAAACAGACTGACCATATCGTACCAATAAAATGGAAAATAACATTTTTACAAGATTTAGTCCAATGTGGCTTTGAATAGAGGGAGCAGTAATTAATAGACTGGGTATAATTCAGGAATGGTAAATCGTACAATAATAGTCCAAGGGTAAACATAAAGCTCACAATGAAAGGAACATAAATATGAGTAGTTTAATTATTTAGCAAATATACGATCAAAATTATATTCATAATATTGGTCCATAAATGGATCCCAAAGTTGCCATTCACTATTGTTATTATTGGGGCACAACAAACTGTACCTTTTAATTGTTGAAAATCTATCTCTTCCAACTAATTTTTCCTTATACATGTATATTCACAATGGATTGATGATTATGTAGTGACCAATGTCAAGTATTTTAGGTCTTTCTTGATACTAATTGAATCCTATCGATCAAACACTTTACATCTCAACAAAGACGACGTTATGTTGAGGCACTAAAAATAATATTGCAACTTGATTGATAGAACTCGACCACCATTAGGAAGAATTCCGCATAAGTGACAATGGTTCTACAATGGTTCTACCTGAATAACTTAGTGGTAACGTCTTTGGCTATGAATATGGATGACATGGGATAGAATCCCCAGAGAGTATCAGTTCCCTCAAGATTACACGTACATCATGGTAACAAGTGTCAAACAGTATGAAATCTAGGTTTAGGGCTTTCCGTCAGCTATCTTTATAAAAGATTGAAGTATATACATATAAATATATTATACCTGTTGAACTAGTAATGGTAACTATCTCAATTCAGTAGCCTTGGGAATAACACGTTAAACTTTGATACGATGTGTACCAAATTCGAGATTCAGTGAAAACATAAACATGCTGAGATGTGAATGAACATTTCTCAAGTGACAGGTATTCAATTCAATTATTTAATACTATGCATAATATACTGCTAAATATTTTTTTTCGATAGCGAGTCGAAGTGAAATAAGTTTTATTGTAAACATACCAACTGGGTATCCCTTAACTTTTGTTTGAATGTCTTCATCGAGACTTGAACTCAGTACTTGTCGCTCGAAGCATAAATGCATTATCTGTTAAGTTACCAAGTTATGTTGTTCATTATTTTTGTCCAAAGGTCCTCATATCTGTCATTTTATTTGTATATGCTTGTATTTCTTAGTTGCTAATAGTCGGGACTGAATTTGAGAAATCGGATTTTGTAAATAAGTTGACTGTGCAGATGTTTCGGCAATGTCTCTATTTACAAGTTTCCAGTATAGGATTGTCAAAATTGTTAAAGTCCATTGAAATCATGAAACAATCCAAGTTAGACCACCATTGAACACCCACAAACACTGAATGGTCTTTTCGTCCTAGTATGAGATTCCTAAGCTCTGAAAGCTCAGTGGTCTAGAGGTTAAGCTTTTAAGTGCAAGACCAAAGGTATTAGGTTTGGTTCCTGTCCGTGTAATCGTAGATACGCGCTACCGAGGAGTTCCGTACTAAGAAGAAATGACCGTCCAGTGCCTCAAGGTTTAGTTACAGGTTTGTTACATTTTGGTGATTACAGTAACTGAATAGTTTGAAATATAAGGTCTTTGAGTTCAAAATGATGGGCACTACGTTTAAGTCCTAATGTAAACATCAGCCTAAGAATCCAAATTGACATGAAACATACTCTCTAGATTTTTAAATCTACTCACTATTGCAAAATACTATCAACTTGTAACTAAAGCCACTTTTGAAGAATTTTTTTTTAATTAACCAATAAATAAACATAACCTGAATACTCCTGAATATCAAACCCTTACAAATAGTTCATTGCAGACAAGTGAAGTATTGTGTCTTATTATTTATTTATTTCTTCATTTAAACACATACATATTTGTATAAAAGGGCACCAGATACATATGCGCCACACAAAACAATGAGAATGGGAAGAGAAAGGAGGAAGATGTGTATATATAGAAGAAAAAAAAGAAGAGTAATGATGGGGAGGAACTGAAATGTACAACCAGGAGAATCTTTCTTTTAAATAAATGTTATAACCACTCTTTATGAAGGAAGTAAAAGAAGGTTACAGCAGGATCGCCAATGGCTTCTATTCTGAGCCATATCTGATAATGTCTCTAGTCACTGTGTTGCACCATCTCTTGGATCCCAGTCAACCAACAGAAGCCAGCCCTTTGCAGCTTTCTTTCATACCACGACACCATGTCATACACTGACCTCCTCTCCGCTTTCTCAAACTAGTTCCAGCGTCGTCGGCAAATAATGCACGACGGAGAATTCTCTTGGACGACATTCGTAGAACATGTTCAAGCCACCGAAGTCGGTGTTTCAAGATGGTGACACCAATTGAATTATCGTCTCTGCGCCCGAACACACTATGCCGAACCTCTGCATTACTAACATGGTGTTGACACTGGTTGTCAGCAATCATTCGGAGACAACGGTGATCGAACACAGAGAGACGTCTAACATCCTCAACTCGGAGAGGCCAGGTTTCACAAGCATAGAGCAAAACTGCTCTCACAGACGCGTTGTAGATCCGACCTTTTACAGCCAGACTAACATCACGAAGGCGCCAAAGATGGCCCAGATTGGCATAAGCCGTTCGGGTTTTCATTATATGTGCATCGATCTCATCACTCACGTCACAACCAGCACGTATGTAGCTACCTAGATACACAAACTTCTCAACTATGTTAAATAACAAACTATACAACATGATTAAGGGATATGAGGTTTCTTAAATTCAAAAAGAAGGTAACTGTGAAACTATTCGCTCTCATTTAGACAAAAGTTCGTATATAGAAGGTAACAGTATTCGTATTACCAGTTGATATTCTTATTAAATATAGTTTCATCTTATTTTGGACTTGGTAGCTAGATTATCAACAGACGATGGTCAATTATAGTCCTTAAAGCCAAGGCTCCCCTAAAAACGATTACGTTATCTGTTTATTATAATTCTTTAGGAAAATCAAAAGCGTCTGTAAATTTATAACCAAAGCATATATTTTTCAGCCCTTTAATCTAACAGTTAGTCACTCAGCTACAACATAGGACCAGGCACATATATGCATCGGTCCAAGTTGCCATACCTAATTCAGTAGCACAACAAGATGAACACCAAATTCATAGAAGTAGTTACTTCAATGGCAGTAATATATAAAAGAAAGATTATGTATAAGGATATAGTACAAGAAGAAAGAATTAGTTGGCATTTTCAGGAAACAATACTCATAACATTAGGTCACACAGACTTAGGAATCACAAAATTCAACTTGATTAATACAATCTATCCGGACATTTGAAAGCTAAATTTATACATATAAAACTGACTATTATTGAATGATCCATTTATGTCAAAATGGTTTGAATGATTTTTTCTGGTTAGCGTTTTTTTAACGAGTTGATTTTCTACGGGATAGGGTCGCTAACCCTATGCCCAACCCTCCTCCTTTACCTGGGCTTGAGACCGGCAGTAGCCCCCAGAGGAGCTACAGGCGGACAAGCCCTCACATGGAATCCTGAAGGTCAGAGGAGAAGAGGAAGACCAAAGAACACATTACGCTGAGAAATAGAGACAGACATGAGAAGAATGAACAAGAATTGGATAGAACTAGAACAGAAGGCACAAGACAGAATGGGTTGGAGAAAGCTGGTCGGTGGCCTATGCTCCATTGGGAGTAACAGGCGTAAGTAAGTAATTTATGTCAATATACATGAAGCCAATATGTTTGTGTAGATGAATTGCTTTCCACAATAAAGTGAAAATGGAATATACTCAGTGAAATACATTAATACATCAAAACATTACATGTCGACAATGCCTCATGACAACTTACATCTTCTTTTCTAGGTGTCTGTTCAGTTGTTTGCTCCTGAAAAAAAAAAGAAATCAATAAGAGTTAAAACATAAAAGTGTGCAAATGTACCGCTTATGAATTTAAATCAGTTTAAATTTTACAAATAAATTAATGAATAAAGTGACTGGTATAACTGACATGCAATTTAAATAAATAAATGATAGTTGAGTTCATTGGTCGATTAAGGATAGACCACTATAAAAAACCTGGATCGACTGAATTTAGACATTAACATAATTCCATGCTAGCTCAATAGCATACCTACAGCTGAAAAACATCTGGAGCTCAAAACAATTGTCAACCAACACCAAGGTTAGAATTTTCAATACAAATGTCAAGACAATTCTACTGTATGGAGCAGAGACGTGGAGAACTACGAAAGCCATTATCCAGAAGATACAAGTGTTCATTAACAGCTGTCTACGCAAGATACTTCGGATCCGATGGCCAGACACTATCAGCAACAAGTTACTGTGGGATACAACAAACCAGATTCCATCTAGTGAAGGAAGAAATCAGGAAGAAACGCTGGGAGTGGATAGGACACACATTGAGGAAATCACCCAATTGTGTCACAAGACAAGCCCTCACATGGAATCCTGAAGGTCGAAGGAGAAGAGGAAGACCAAAGAACACATTACGCCGAGAAATAGAGACAGACATGAGAAGAATGAACAAGAACTGGAAAGAACTAGAAAAGAAGGCCCAGGACAGAGTGGGTTGGAGAAAGCTGGTCGGCGGCCTATGCTCCATTGGGAGTAACAGGCGAAAGTAAGTAAGTAAGTAGGTATGCTAGCTCAATGGTTTAGAAGTTAAGAGTTCGCGCTAGAGATCGAAGGTTCTAGGTCCAAATCTCGTATGCAGGATAGTGGGTGTGCATTGTTAAGGAATCCTCGTACTAGAACAAAGTAGTCGTTTCCAAATGCTTCCAAGTTTTCCATGGTAGTCTACCTTTAATTGACTTATGATAAACTGAATAAAAGAAACAAATTGATTGAACTATGTTCATGCAAGTTAATAAATATGGAAATGATGAAGCTAAACATTTCATAAAGAGAATAGATTGTTTAAAAATCAACCTAACAATGTAGTTTTGACTAAAACAAGCAACAACAAAAAAGTGGTATTTAGGAAAGATTTAAAATGTAAAAAAAAAAAATAATTTTTGATATGATAAAATGATAATTTTCACGTCCTGTAAGTTTCGTTAGGTTCTCAATACCTGCTTACAAACTGTACTATATTAAAATAGAATTTATTACAGATATTGATATAAACAAAGATGGATGATGATTAGCAGTGGAATCTGGGACACTTGTTTTTGTCCTATTTGAAACTCGTTAGTTTAATGAATTTGGAGTAAATATCAACTATGTAATGCAGGTATATTCAGCTGACGAGTTTCAAATAGGACAAAACACGTATCCTAGACTCCATTACTAATTACCATCCATCTTTGCTTATAATGTTTGTGATTTAAGGCAATATCAATGCAATCTGTACAGGATTCATATATACTAATAAGAGACTTATCAATTATCATTTTAAACATCAATAGGAAGATTCAAACAACCAATATAAAAATGAATTATAGATATTAATATACTTATAAATACAGAGGTGATTAGAAATGAATAGGTATATGATGATGCAGCAAAGATACCAATAGAGTTATAAGGGTTTCATGCAAACTAATACTTACATCATAAATATGAAAAAAAAAAGGGATATAGAACTACACAATATCAAATGATAACATGTAAATTAAAAGAAAATATCACATTGACAACAAATATTTATAAGTTATAGGGTTTACTAAAAATCAAAACAATCATAAGTAACCAATGTACATACAATCTTAACTAAGTATTACGATGATACATTTTAATGATAGCTAACAACAAGTACAATTAAAAAGCTTGAGTATATACCAATTTTCATGATATGATGATCAACCATGAATTTTTTTTTTTAGTGAATAAATCAAGTTATATTGACTAGAACAGATTAGTTAATGAGTACGAGAATAAAAAAAATCAGTAAATTTAAGATCTGAAAGTTAAGTCATATTCTTGATTGTACTGGGTTATGATAATAGTAAAGCGTTTCATTCAGACAATCATAATCTTCAGAGACACTTCTTTCTCATAATGGAAAGAGAGAATAAATAAAGGTCTATTCCTTACCTTGTCTCAAGGATTACTGTTGTCGGCGGCAAGATCAGGAACATAAGAATATGACATGCCTGAAACTCTTCGCAAAATACCCTTGCCTGACTAGCCTTAAGTAGTTTTCTTTAAGACTATATAGTAAAGCTACAAAGTTGTCAAGAACATTCACAACCTTATTTCCTTTTTATATACTCTAGGAAGATGTACCACACAAAGGTAACTAATGAAATTTTGTAATCAACTACATTTGGTAATCAAATTTTAAAAAAAAATATATCTCTGAAGAAAGAATTATATAATTGAAAGTTTCATTTTCTTATTTTAATAGCAAAGATAAATTGTAGTAGCTTAGCTTCTTTAATCAATCACCTTGATAACCGTTATTATATAAATCTTATCAGTGTTTGAAATTAGAAGGGATTAAGAAGCGGTGACTACAGTTTATATGCGGATAGCATAGACAACAAAATCATAAGCACATCGAGCAAATTTAAAGCAGAGAGATGAATATGTGTATGTGAGCAGATACAAAGACAAATTTATAGTCAAATCGAATAAGGATATGTTAAACAAGTGTTTAGTCAATCAAATGTGTCAACACTCAATGACATATAAATAAGAATGGATTTTAGAAAATAGTCAAGGATCAATTAGAACAAAAGACGTTATCAATCTATGACTAGAATTACATCGGAACTACAGAGGTCCTAGTTGAAATCCACGATCTGATCTATGACTAACAAACAATAGATCTATTCAAGAAATGTATATTTTCTCAAATTAAAATTTTAAATAATTATTGATTATAAGCAAAGATGGATAGTGGCTAGTAGTGAAATCCAAAACGCGCGTTTCTTCCTATTTGGGACTCGTCAGTGTTATATCCCCTGGTGAATTATGAATGGTAACTCTAAGGACTATTTATCGACCAATGTATTATGACTATTTCTTATTGTACAGTTGTTACGTAACTAAATTATTCATATTCGTGTTTTCTATTATTTTGATCTTTGATTTATGATCATACGATTCTTGAGTTATAATCAGTTTATTGATTACTTTGGTTTGTATAAAAACCCAGTATGTTTGTAAATAATGATTCATATTGTCGAGGCTGTTATTTGTGTTCTGCACTCAACTGGCTGGGCTAGGCATATAGGAAGGACCGAATAGCACCCAAGACTGCTCAGGCCATACGTTATAACAGTGGCGACGGGATACTGTTCGTACGTATTTCAAGTATCATTTGCATTCGATCAGTAAAATCCACTACATCTCCAATTGCACGTCCATATATATTACGGGCCCATACGTTATAACAGTGGCGACGGGGATTTTGGTACGCAAAAGAAAAAAGTATACAGTTTTCGACGGGGATTCTGGAAAAAAATACAGCAATCAAGACTGCTCGTACGACTTTATGTATCATTGAACGTTTATGTATTAAGAGGGTATACGTTATAACAACTGACGACAGGGTAAAAAAATGGCTTTAACTTCCGATCAATTTCAGTTGCTAATTCAGAGACAAGAGCAGCGTTTTAAAAAGAGTCAGTTGGATTTCATTGACAAGTTACACGCGACGCTGCTGAATCACCCATGCTTTGGGGGTGCAACGGAAGTTGACGCATTGATTTCTAAATTGCGTACAGAGCTGGAAAACGATTACAGAACTAATGAATATGCCGGCGAAAGCCTCAATGAATCCGTACAAAACAGTAATTTAAATGCAGCAGTAGCAGTCCTACATGATCAGCCCAGTAGTCCGGTACTGCCTGTTTCAGAGACATGCCCTATACACGGTCCAAGTCCTATTAACCCCGAAAACGGACGTGCAAACAGTGGATCAACCTGTTTACAGAAAGACAATGTTTTGCTGAATGCTCATGGAATTACTGTAGTACCCGCCCACGAAGAAACGGGGAACAAATCGGGCAGTATATTGAATACAGTGGCGCCAAATCAAACCAGTCATGATGCAAAAAAGTTTTTTTATGAATCTAGTGATCAAGATTATTTAATTGTTCTGCCAGATCCCGATTATTTTGCTGATTCATATGTTCCAGTTCAAATCTCTTATAAAAATGGGAGAAAAATATCGGATGCATTAAATGATAATCAAGAATCCAATACAAATTTCATAGATACTGATTATCCTAATGATTCATTATCTACTAATGAGGTTCCGAGTAAATTCAAGGAAAGTGTTTCAAAAGAATCAGACGCCGGTGACCTCAAATCGAATGTCGTCGATCCTCACGATATAATCAGTTCTGGTGGATTTTCTGTTAAATACAACGAATATGTTTTAAATAATGTCACAATAATGGTAACTTGGGTACATGAGGATCCAACAATCTTTCGTGGGGGAGGGTGAATTCGAGAAATTTAAAATCCGGACGTCAACTCCGTATTTCTCAAAAGGGGGAGGTGTTATATCCCCTGGTGAATTATGAATGGTAACTCTAAGGACTATTTATCGACCAATGTATTATGACTATTTCTTATTGTACAGTTGTTACGTAACTAAATTATTCATATTCGTGTTTTCTATTATTTTGATCTTTGATTTATGATCATACGATTCTTGAGTTATAATCAGTTTATTGATTACTTTGGTTTGTATAAAAACCCAGTATGTTTGTAAATAATGATTCATATTGTCGAGGCTGTTATTTGTGTTCTGCACTCAACTGGCTGGGCTAGGCATATAGGAAGGACCGAATAGCACCCAAGACTGCTCAGGGCATACTTTATAACAGTCAGCTTGATTTACCTGCATCTCAGAGTTGATGTTCACTCTTGGACTCGAACCCTGTACCGTTCACTTCAAACGTCATCGCG